CCCCCCCCCCCCCCCCCCCTTTTTCCTTTTGGTTCAACATTAAGGGTGTTCAGATCAATTTATACATACATTGATTATTTTTCTCTCCAATTCAAACAAAAATAGGTCATCCACGACAAGACCCCCGAAAACATGCAGAAGATAAGATTGCACAAAAAATAAGAGTACCATAGCAAAGCCCTCTATCGCGATATCGATAATACCCTCAAGACCCCGAGAGCCAACCTCTTTAATATCTGAGAGTGTCACAAACTTTCAAAGCAGTTCCTTGGCCAAATTTACGTACGGCAACATGGACACCAGGCCACTTTTAGAAGCAGAACAATTATGCAGAGCTCCGATCTCAATGGAAGTCTGCACAGGAGTCTCAATCTCTAAAGCAATCCTAAGACTAACTCTAAGATTCAAAGGGCCACATGCTGAGAAGAAGCGGGACACCAGCAGACTCCACATTCCGAGAAACAGTAGGGCTATTAGACCTCAGTTGGGAAGCACTAGGGGGCATCAAATCTCGCCCTTTTAAGAGGAGGGAAAGTCATCATCCTAGTGACATAGAGAGCCTCCACCATTGACCTATCAACCACAGGATTACCTATAGAGTCTGAATGAAAAAGAGAATTTTCAGAAAATCGAAGATATCATCAATTTGTCTAAGTCCGCCATGGTGTCGCCACCCAGCCTCGCGCCTTTTCTGGCGTTGCCACCAAGCCTCTCTCTCAATGGAGTAGAAAGCTGAAAAAGTCACCGTGCGAAACAATAAACCTTGGTCTATCCAAATAAAGGAGCTCGTTCATGCCCTAAACCTCATATCATTACTAGGGCTTGGAGCATAGGGGCCAAATGACGAGCCCAAATCCAAACTAGACCTAAGCCCAATCCATGGGTTAAGCTCAAATCATCAAAAAAGCTAGTCAAGCTTAGCTCATGCCGTCAATCCAATCCAAATTAAGCTCAAAAGTCCAGAATAAGTCAATGCATATGAGATAGCAATGATCGAGATAGTCATTACTCCAAGATAATGTCTATCCCTAATTATAACTCCCCAATAAATTAGTAGTTTGACATCACGTCACTGCCACAATTAGGGTTTTGTACCTATAAATTGTAAATCATTTGCACAGTAGACACACACTTCAACTTCAGCAGACTCTTGCTCTCTCTCTCATACTATCTTATACTCTTTTATTAATAAAGTTCTCTAACCACCGTAGCCGCCTTCAGTAGTTAAGTCACGCAAACTCAACCACCCAATCTTTGTCATTTATTATTAATTACTTTACACCACACTCAATTAATTTGATCGTACATAATTAACTTTACGCATCATCAATTGATATTAATTGAATTAGAATAATTGAAAAATCCGAGCATAATACAACCTTATACTAAGTACAATGACAAATAGAGATACAAATGAGCCAAATCGAGCATCAAACTATTTAGGCTCGGTCGTTCATTTGCCATGATGGATTGAAACTGACCCATGATTGTGTTGTGATAACATTGTAGTATCTTCTGCAAGTTTTATTTATTAATTTTTTTTCCATTGTAGGTTCGACTTATTTAATTAAACGAACTAAATTTGACTTAAACTTCAATTCAAACTTCTCTTCAAGATCAAGTTCAACTCAATTATCTATCATATAGGTAATATTGCATATTATATATATGTGTGTGTGTGTGTGTGTGTTCATGATTTTAGACGAGTTGAATAAATCACTGCTTAGGCTCAATTGATTTATTAAATGAGCTTAAACTTGATTTGTTTCATAAATACACGAACTTGAACGGTTCATCATCAAGTCAAATCACTTGTAATTCTGATAATAATACAAAATTCATATGAATAAAGACAAGACTTTTTTTAAATAAGTTGAATTGATCTATGTATGGATTTTTCATTTAAAGATTACTAAAAGACATTAAAAAAATTTAATTTGAGAAATACTGCTTCAAAAATATTAGGAATTGGGTTTATGT